CAGGGCAGGCCAGACCGGTCAGTAATAGGTTCAGGCCAGGTTCAGGGGGGCCCCCAGGAACCCTCTCAGTCCAGCCACAGGCACATTCCTGGGGCCTCTCTGGGCATGGCTGGGGAATTCACTGGAGTCTCTGACGTGTCCTGTGTGTGTGGGGGTCTCACACCCGAAGCAGTCCAGGGCTCTGGGGTCACTTTTAGAGCCTGGCCCTCAGGCTCAGCCCCATAGATGCTGCCGGAGCACGCTGCTCTGCTCACCCTGCCACTGTCCACGATCTCCTTCTGCAGGCTGGTGGAGGTTGTCACCAGGAGGCGGATGGCCTGCCGAGACCAAGACAGTGTGACTCTGCGTGACCCACGGAGGCTGGCGCCCCGGGTCTCTGCCCACTCACCTTCATTAGGTCTGTGCAGGAGTTGAGGATCCTGGGGGAGAGACGGGGAGAGAAGGGGAGAGGCTGGGCTGACCCGTAGGGAGCGGGGCCCAGCGCGTCCGCGTGGCCTCGGCAGGGCGAGGGAGGCTCTGCTCGGTCCTGGGCTCCACTTCCTGGAGGGCTGAACACTGGGGAGCTTGGGCAGCACTGGGGCTCACCTCTCATTCACCTCCAGCTTCACCCCCGAGCTCGCGTGCCGCGCCTGGTTCATCATGTCCTGCACCGGAGACAGCGTGAGCCAGCTGGGAAGCCAGGCCGCCACCGGGCCTCCAGCTCTGCCTTACAGGCCTGGGAAGAGTCCATGTGCAGAGCAGGTACAGCCTGCCCCCGCCTCCAGCCCGGCCTGCAGCCCCCAGGTCTCCCCAGGAGCCGGCGGCCTTGTGCCCTGGCCCTCACCTCGATCCTCCGCACAGCATCCTCGATGGCTGCGGACGTAGCTGCCATCTCTTTGTCAACCATGGCCCCCAGTTCCTCCTGCCGCACGTCCAGACTCTTGGGCTTCAGCTCCTGGGGGGACATGGAGCAGGGGGTGGGTTTGACCCCGTCAAGCCCACAGCTGCAGGCCTGGGGCACAGACCCGCTGAACCCACCTGGACAGGTGTGAACTCCAGGCGCCAGCTCCCCAGACGCTGGCCTTGGGCTCCACTCACCTGGCCCAGCTGCAGGATGCTCTGTAGGGGCTCCCGCCACAAGCCGGGGCGCGCACGGAACCAGGACCGG